CGATGGCCGGCCAGCCGGGGTTCGTCTTTATTTAAATGTATGTGTGTGTACTTCTAACATGTTTGGTTGGTAAAATAAATGTTGTAAATTCAAATCAGAGCGTCTTCTGTGTCTGGAATGGATGTATTCTTGAGTCTATAAGGTAACAATAATATAATAAGATAACCTTGTTTGAAATGGGTTTGGCTAAATTCAAATTTTGGTTTCGTCTATACAACTAGGTACTTATACTATATTGACTGGGTTAAATAGAATTGCATTTCTAAAAAGAGACTAAAATACAATTTTCGTCGACTAAAACTAGACTAAATGTCATCAGTTTTCGTCAACTAAAACGCTCAGACTTTTAGTCGACTAAAACTTGACTAGACTAAAAAGAGTATGAACGTGACAAACTAATAAAAACTAAAATGACAGTTTCACACAAAGACTAGACTAAAACTAAAATTAAAACAGGCCGCCAAAAACACTAGTTACATTCAAAAAGTTCCAATGAATGGTTCTTGTAATTCATAAAGGACAAAAACTTACCAAAAGGACTTTACTAAGACGTGCAAAATGCTTTACAACTACAGGCAGAAACTGACGCCCTTCCTCTCCATTCAGGCGGCTGGGAGAAAGAAAAACAACAACAAAAGTCCCATGATTAATCTATAAATATCTTAAAACGTTACCACCAATGGCATGCTCACTAGACACACAAGAACCAATGAGGTTGGTTCTAAAGCATCGAGCAAGAATATATGAGCTTCCGTTTAACATATTCAATCCACTCTACACATGTCCACTGATCAATACATACATGTGACTGAATTAAATCTGTTCATCATTTAAAGCTATTGTGTCTGATACTTTGATGAAACCAATCAATTCATGAATTTATTTTATGACCTCTTTAGGAACTTTGTGGAGCGTAAACATTTTGGTGGAACAAACTTTCAATGGAGGAACAGAAAATAAAAATATCTTAATTATACTGAAAACAAATTATGGGTTTGGAACAACATGAAGTTTAGTAAAAGATGACAATTTTCATTTTGGGATGAACTATCACTTTAAACATAAAATAGCTCCTGAATGCCAATTTCACATAAAGTGTGGACAGAGTAACCATTGACAAAACTGTATCACTACAACACTAAAAGAGCTTATATCATGAAGGAGACATCCATGCGTTTGACTAAAACCTACTGAAAGACAGACACTAGAACCGTAGGTTAACCCTTACTTCGCGATGGTGATGTAGGCATCGGTCTTCTCTGACAGCCCGGCTGCTTCATCTTCCAGACACTTCAGAAGAGGAAGGAGGCTGGCACTAGATAGAGGCACTGCTGCCATCATCCTCACAGCCTGAAAGACAGCAAAGCACATTAAACTGATGCATACAGCTTTGACTACCACAAGACAGAATATAATGCAATCAAACGTGAAAACTCTCTCTTTAAAGGAGTTCTGGTGCAGTTGTTTAATTGGAGAAGGCCTTTAAATAACCATTTAAAAATACATTTCAAAACTCTTCTGCCCCTTGGACCTGTGGCACCCTAGAATGACTCCCACCTTTCACCCCTAAACACAGCCCTGGCTGAGTTTTGTTTAATAGTCTGCAATTAATAGTCGATTATGAAATGCTATGCATGAATGGGAATGTGTGAAAAATGAATGTTGGAACGCTTTTAATGTTATACTGGTAGTGTGACCAGGAGTCAATGAATGCAGGACATCGTGTTCTCTCGATGCACATGAGATCTCTGGTGAACAAATGGCCATAATATCTTCAAATCAAGACCAAGAGACGTAAATTCAGTCGTCTATTTCACCTTAATGACACATTTGGGAAGAATAAAACCTCACGCGCATCTTACATGTGATGTTTAACGCTAGCTAGCCAGGTGCACGAGATGCTAATAACAATGCGCCATCTATTATCAAACTCTCTGCCAAATATCATAATGCATTTGCTTTGAAATACTAGTTTTTTTTAGTGGTATGTGTGCCCTAATATGCTGAGCTGTCCGAGATGCAAATATTAGACCTTAATGTCGTCTGTATCTTAAAGCTATTGTGTAATCAAGTGCGTTGAGCGTACAACTTGTAGGCAGAGAGAGCTAAATGTGCTGTTTATTGAAACCTTTAAACCGTCGTGTATGCTTTTGCTGAAATCAATCTAATCCAACAGGAACTTTTCCTACAAAGACTGCAGTTAGCGAGCTAGTTTCCCACCCAACCCCCTGAGCACACGCACCAACAGACACAACTCAAGATGTCTCACCTCGCGCTATCGACCACTGAGGGCGAGACCATCGACACACGAGCTATATCAGAGGAATCGGGAGAGTTTATACAGCACTGTTTGTAAATGACCAAGGCTACGCTGCGTCTGTCCTGTCCTCTCCTCACTCTTCACTCGTCACTCCCCGCGAAAATGCTGGCGCCAAACATGACGCGTTGAAACCGTCACCTTCAACCCCACGTCAACTCCGCCCTCTCATAAATTATTTATTGCATGAATTAAGAGACTTTGCCAAAACTTGAATAAAAATTCGAGCAAATAATTAGGATACCTTGGTCATTTGTTCGTTTATGTGAAATTTCACAATAATGTCTCGTTTGTTAAACACATTAGTTAACATGAAATAACAAAACAAAGTCAAATCAAAGTTGTATCTGTTAACATTTGTTAATGGACTTTGAACAAACGTACAAACAATAAACTATTGTATGTTTTTATTGATTAACATTTACAAACACAGTGGAGGCCAAAATTAAAAGAACGCAGTATTTTCACCGGATAAAAAAACGGTGCTCCACACAAAGACCTGATCTCTTCATGAAGAAACAGAACAAACTGAGACAGACTAAATCCAGAAGAACTGTGGCAACGTCTCCAAGATGCTTCAAGAAACCTACCTGCAAAGCTTCAGTTCTGTTAAAAGTTTTAGGCACTTGTGTAAAAATGCTGTAAAATCAGAATGCTGTAAAAAAGAATGTCATAAATAGATTTTTTCTTTATCAATTAACTTCTATTAAATAAAGTAAATCAACATTTGGTGGGACCATCGCTTGTGTTTAAAGCAGCTTTTGCCCTCGGTGCACTTGCGCATCGTTTTTCAGGGAGCTTTGCAGGTAGGTTTCTTGAAGCATCTTGGAGACATTGCCACAGTTCTTCTGGATTTAGTCTGTCTCAGTTTGTTCGGTTTCTTCGTGAAGAGATCAGATCTCTGTGTGGAGCACTAGCTGTTGTCAGACTCCTTGAGCAAACAAAAATCTCACTGGATTATTACAATTAGTGGCAAAATGAATGTTTGGAAGTGTAAACTGATATTTCCTCCTGACACACTACAGCAAAAGATAGAAATAACTGACTTAAAACCATTTTTAGCTGGTGAAAATACTAGTGTTCTAATCATTTTGGCCACCACTGTATATTCAAAGAATAAATATTGAAAAAAAAGCTTTGCTGTAAAAAAAAAAAAAAGTTTAGAGTTAATGTACAAAGAATGTACATTTAAGGGCCTATGCCTATATCATAGCAGTTCTCAACTAAGACCTGGGACCCACTAGGGAGCCACAGAGCCTTAATAATTAAAAGGCTAAACCTGATAGAAATGCATAGCTGTAACAAGCAGAACATTTCTTACTCTGAATAATTGTACATGCACTGTTAAAATCTCTTTGATTCAGAATCATTTGTCTTTTTTCACTGCAGTCAAAAACTTTGCATTAACAATTGCTGATTGTTTTTTTTTTTGTTGGTTAGTATTAATATCATGTTATGTTTCACATGAGCTCTGAGTTTTGAAGAATAGACACAGTAACACATTTTTTTAGGATGAAGTATACTTGTGTTTCTATCATTTCCGGCACTTTTACATCCCATGGGTCTGTCAGCTCTATTAAATCAGATTTCAGCTTATTTCTTGTGGTTACAATAAAACACTGTAATACATTAAATGCACTTTGTTTTATGAGAGTTTATTTTTTAAATGTTCACAGGCCTATACACTCAAATTTGTGATTATTAATAGCTTTAATATTGCATCCTTGGTAAAGAAATCAAAATGTAAAAAAATGACACAGTTGTGGGTTTGGGTGTATTAAAAAAGTGGGTTTGGTGCTTTAAACATTGGTCAAGTGTGATTGTCATAGAGCTGAGAGGAGTTCACAGCGATGTACTGCAGCTGAAAACCTCCACCCGTCACCGAGGAATCAGAAAGGAACTTCAGAGTCATGACATTTCCTGTGCAAGAGATAATGTAGAAACATAGAGAGATATCTTCTGAAATCTGTTTAAGAGATACAGTACATTCAAATTGACGTATTGTCCAAGAAAAACAAACTTTTGAAATTGAAATTAATGCAACAACATACCTGTACTTATGAAGTCCTCTGGAAGTTCATCCCCACAGTATCTATCCAGAGCAGACAGATTTGTTTGATTATTTTGAAGCAAATTTAAACAATGTCAGAACTCTTAAACTCTCAGCAGCAATAAAAAATGGAACGTAAAGTTCAACGGTGAATAAAACAAATCGTCTGTTATTTACCTTCCAACAAAGCCTGAAACATCATCATAGCTGTCATAGATCTCCAGGTAATCACTGAGGCAAGCTGTGTCTTCCTCAATGTCAAAGTCTAGGAAGTGCAGGCGGATTCGTTGGCCGTAACGCACACGAATGTGCCAGTAGCAAATCTGCTCATCCTGGTAATCTTCTGGATAACCAGGAGAATCGAAAACCTTCTCCTGATCTGTGTGCACGCCTCCACACTCCTTTGCTGGAAAGACAGCACCAAAGGTGTACAAATTAATTCATGCATAAAAGTCAATAAACTCAAGGGGTCAGTCCTTCTACACCAAACAGTTTCATTAGTTTGAATCACGTTTCATCTCTTCATCTCTCCATGTGGAAATAAGTATCAGAAGTATAAAAAGGAGTCAAAGGAATATGAGCACTATGCTTATGCAGACAATGACAAATCCAAACTCTGTCTGTGGTTTGAGTGGGTGCTCAGTGACACGCACATCTGGTGCCCTGCCCTCAATGAGGTAGTTACTGGATACTATATAGAAAGCTAATTTATACTATAAATAATATATTTTTATTAAATAGGACAACCCACCCTCTTTGCACTGTATTGCACTGAACATCGATCTATTGCAATATCAGAATTAAACTTTGAGGAAATGTTTTGTGAAACTAATATTCAAACGTTTCTATGTGTGTTGATCTATTAATAAATATCTATTGAAAGTAAGACACAAAAATGTCCACATCAACATCTCTCGCAGGACATCTCAACCTGAAAGTCTGAGTTCACTATTTCCTCCCTGACTTCTTTTTGAGAACCCTGTTGAGTCAAGTTCTCCGTAGGGAGAATTTCTTTCACCAGCTCATTAGAAATCAGGGGAAAAGAGTCAGTCACAAACTCAGCTGGGTCTCTGGTAATACATTACCGCACCTTGTAAAATTTCATGGGGCTTCATTTAGATTATTCACGGTGTGAAACATTTTTCATTAGAATCTTCCATATTCATACAAGAGACAAGAGCCAGAGAAAACAAGCAGGCATTTTCCAGGAAATGTATAATGTATTTGTTCTCTTTCTGTTTGTTTTGACCGCTCCACATCTAAGACATTTTCCTACATTTAACTCATATGAATAATGTCCTGTGCTGAGGTTCACTGTCCTCTATTTCTATCTGTCATTGTGTGTACTAAAACATCCAACACTTTTTTTCTCCAACATTTAGTCATGGTTGTCTGTCAGGCCAATGAGTGCCTGAATTATGATATAAAGTAATTGTCTTTAACCTATGGAGATTTATACTTTACTACAGTCAACTCACTCTGAAGAGCTTTCAAAGAACATTTTACAAACCTAAGATTTGTGTAACTACTTTGTCCAAATCTCTCAGCGGATGACTAAAATCCACCCAAGATTGCCTAACTGCCATTGCTCAAACTCACCCCCAGGGTTGTAGCAGTAGACATCCCACTTCTCACTTTTGTTGAGCCGATATCCATAGTCAATTATTCCAACCTTTCCGAAACCACAGTTGGTGCCAGCTTTAACAATCGGATAGCCCACACGTCCTTTGTCAAACCATCCAGCTGCACACACATGAAACCCTTTGGGAGAATGACAAATGCTGTGATACTGTGCAACATCTGTTATTATGAAGCAACATTTGACAAATATTAATTGATCTAAAATGCTAATTAATTACAAATGATTAAACACTGTTTTAATGTTTAAAAATAATACGTTCTAATTATACAAATATAAGTGATACAAATTCTGTTGGTGAATTAATTATGAAAAGTAGTTCATTTCTTTTTTTCTTCAGTGTTCATATTTGAATATATCTGCAGTATTTCACAACCAGGTTATGTTTGTACTGAATAAAAAGTGTTCTCCATGAAAAAAACTAAAACTAATAATTGAAGGAAATTCGTCTTTTTTAAGGGGTAATGAATAAAGGGCTCTTGTTCTCTGAGGAGCCATGGGCACCATTTGAAGGCTGCAAACAGAGATGATAAAAAGAAAGCCAAGCAGACCTCCAACATAGAGTGCCACAAGCCTGAAGTAACCACAAAATACATCAGAGCTCATGTCTGGAACAAATGTACTCTCACTAAAGAGTAATTTTACAAGAAAACAGGTGTTCCTGCTCAGGCAACACATGACAATGGCTTTTACAGTTCAAACATAACACTGGGTGGCACTGGGGATGGTTTTTAACTTTGTTTATATGATGTGTGCAAATATTTAATATATCTGTGAGAATGTCGATTATCATTCTGCTTGCGGATTGTTTCTGATTGTTTGTTGTTATAATAAAGGCTATTCAGTATGATCCAAGTTCAGCTTTTGGCACTTATGCTGTAGGCCAGACCCACTACTATTTCCATTACTATTTCTTTTGGCATCTGATCTAAGTGAGATTTGTAAGTGTGATACAAACCAATTTGGCGAGCAGCCTCCAGTTGATCATATGTAGCAAGAGTACCCCCCTCAAATTTGCACACAGCCTTGGCTTCCCTGTACGTCAGCTGATATCTTCCTTTGCGAGATTCGCGGTGGTAAACTCCGGCTGCTTGCTCTGTAAGGAGAGAGAACATGTGTCTCATTTGGCAACACTATCAGCTTCGAGGACTCATGTGGAGTTATCTGGGTCTGTTCAATGTCTCAGAACAATGATTCTACCTGTCTACTCAAATTACGTCAGACCTGGGAAACAGGAAATTTATTTTAGAAGGTTTTACACAACGTAGATGTTTTACTGTGCGGGACATCCTGAATACATAAGGGACACATACAATGTACACCCAGTTGCTGTTGGTAAGATCACTGAAGCAGATTTGGCCTGTTTTGAGCTCTGTCTGCTGCTCACAGAACATCATGCTGCT